TTTCCGTGTTAAATCGTTTTTTTTACCGGAGGAATTATGGCAACGCCTGGGCCCTGGGGGTTCATGCGACGTGTTGCTTTAACATGACAGCAATTCGGGACTGAATTTTTTTGCTGCAGTGAAATCGTGCTGAAGTATACTTACAATTAGGATGGGTCCGAACCTATCTGCGGATGGACCCCTTCATCTTTCCGTGATACATTACGCATTGCAACACAGTTAGTTTAGTTGCCTGGCTGCCCCTAACTCTTCGTGTGTTACCGGGACTGAAATGGAGATTTTGTTTTAAGGAAGGTTAGAATGATGTGATCTTGACATGAAGCGCCTCACAGTAGATCGAGTCAACCAGAGAGGTCGGACATGAATTTTTAACCTAAAACTGCAAATTTTGATGTTTAATTTGTCACACGTTAAATTTTAAGGGGCGCATTCAGATGAAAATTCCACGAGAAAACCAATGGAGCCACTTTTAGAACCTCAAAGTTTTGTATGAACGGAGTTATAAGCGTTTAAAGTTTAAAATTTTGTCCGACCTCTCCTATTGACTCGATCCACTGTGCGCCTGAAGAATTTTTTAGTATCATGAGCGCAACTGATTGTCAATCCAGAGAACGAAAGAAATGTCGGAAACTTTTCGTTCGGAATCCTTTTAGAAAACTGCGAATTTGATGACAATGTCTAAACTCTGACGAGGCACGGTTCTGTCATTATTAAAGGTGATTCAAGATTAATTTCGCAGCTTCGCAAGCTTCGACGTCCGATTTTTCAATTGAAATAATTTGTTTTACAATATGGAATTTTCCCCGCAACGATCTCCTCCCTCAGTTAGTGTGTCTTAGAAGTTTTGAATGTTTTTTCTGTAATATTTATCATGGCGATTTTTACGGATCGTTTCGAATTCTTCATATCTGTCGGTAATTTTGAGTGCCCTGCTAATATTTGCTCTTGGGAGAGTTGTGGAGAGACAATGCACAAGGCTTTGGCAAGTTTTTATGTGCACCATTCGTTGTTTTCCGGAGCAAGGAACGTAACTTCATTCCAAGGTTGTAAAATTAACTCAAACAATGGGTCTGTAGCGAGCAAGAGATACAGCGAACTGAATACATCACACCTTCCAAGGGTAAATTCACTCGGAAAGCATGTTTGGCACATCAAAAAATTATGAAATCTACTTTTTAGCGCGTGATCTGTGTAGTAACACGATTTTTCAAATTTACCGCGTAGGCGGACAGTTTTTTTGGTGGCCAGCAGGCAGATTGAAATTGATTTCAGACTTTTTTGACGTGCCCAATGGCGTTTTCGTGCGATTTCACTCTCAAAGAGTATATTAAATCAGCTGTATCTTTTGCGTGCAACAGACCCGTTCTATTCTTTACGAGCATGTACGTAAGCAATTTTTGTCAACATTTTTTCTGATTTTCCTGGTAAAAATGCGATTTGCGAGAGGGATTTGGTGACATTGAAATGAAGTTACCCTCTTTCGTGAGGGTGCGACGCATTGCCTTATCCGGGTATACTGCCGTGCTAAGGAAGAACGCCGTATGAACATTCGAGAGTTGCCAAATTTCCCTCGATAAAACATTTATTTTTGATGAAATTCATGCATATGTTTCCCTAAATTTTTCAGATATCTTAGATTAAATTGCGTACAAAATTGTCTGAAAATTTCGGGGAAAAAATATTCACAATTTTCTTAGTGAATTCGGTTTTTATCGAAGGAAATTTGGCAACGTTTGAAGGCTCATACGGTGTTCTTCCTTAGCACGGCAGTATAGTAAAAATTCTTGACTTGCAAACACGCTCTGTTGTTTCTCCTCCGGATCCGAAAGAATCCTCTTAGAGTTGATTTCTGGACCGATTTTCTAATTAAGACAACCCAGGGATATTTTCAGCGAGGCTTGTGACCGTAACCCACGACAACTGACGCAAATGCCAGCCTGAAGTGCGAAAATAAACCTGCGCTGAAGAACAGTAAAGCTGTCACTTTGGTCCACTCACGTGTGGCGTTCGTCGCTCCCATGTCACAGTTCTAACATCTTTAACTCGCTACCGTTCCAATAAATTTTCCATCGAGAAGTCAGCTTTGATTTGATCCTTCATACGCACGTCACCGCATTTTCTCAAAATCGAAAATTTTAGGTGCCGGTGAATTTCGGACGGGTAGTGACACAGTGAACAAGTGATTTATTCGACCATCTGAGTGTTAATCACATTAATGGACGTTCTAAAGTTTAGACCACGAACTTTTCATCCGTTTTAGAACTCAATGGGGCTTACGTTAAAAAAATTTTTTCATAAGGTAGTGGCAAAGCAACGCATTCGTGATAAAAAGCTCCTGGCCAGACCACCTCGAAAAAATTGCATAGCGGAGGAATCCATTCACCCTTCGAAATTTTTTGGCGGTGGCCTCAGCAAAATATTTTGTATCTCTTCAACCGACGTTACATAACATAACTCCATTCCATAAAAAAAAATGATCTGACAAAACGCGACCTGTCTCTATGCGATGACACTGAAGAGCCTCTTTCATAGGCCAGGCTCAAGAAATGAGAGGATGAGGGTGGGCATTATCGATAAAACATGAGTGCTTTGGCGGCACTAACAAATGTTGCAAACTCCCTCTCATTATTATCTGAAACGGACGTATTTATGCCAAAAGGAACTATGTGCATAGGTTTTGCGCGCGACATAGTTCCTTTTAGCGTAAAGCTGTTCAAATCTGAGCGTAGGAATGTATAAACGTGCACCGGCGAGAGCCATCGATCCAATCTCGCCTCGTTTTTAGACGGGTCGTTGATGTGAAATAGTTCCTTGACAATTTAGAGGACGAATTGATAGTCGATTAGTGGATAATGGGTCACTAAATAATGAATGAATTTTGATTTGTGATTACAATTTTCTGATGGCAATTGACGCCCAGAACACGATGCGCTCATTGAAAACGCGGAAGAGTAATTCAGAAACTGACAAATACGCAGTTCAAAACGCGCAACTTTTCCGTAAATTTGAAACGCCCCACCTTCGCGTCGAACTGGGTGATGTCACCGTGAAATTGTCACTTTTTTGTTGACATACAGGCGCTTTATCATCCCTCTTTTACATTTTCTATGTGTATCTCCCGTAGAAGCGATAGCCGGTTCGATTTTTAGACATGCACACTTTATAGACCTCTTGAGAGACCTTTAAACATATCTCTTCCTTTTCAAAATGAATATTGATTTGGACATATCATAGCATATCTCGGGCAAACTTAACCTTAATTTATTTCGAAATTCAAAAGCAAGAGACATCTAAAGTGTAAACGCGATACAATTATTCTCGCAAGATGGATGTCCATGAAAAATGTAAGCCGCGATGGTGTGAGTCGTGAACTCGCAATGCTCTGCTCTAGTTCAAAGCAACATTGCAAATAAGACAAACGGAAACAAATACAACATGGAAATAGAGGGAGTTAAAGGATGCGCGTTAATGACGGCGCAGAGATACAACTATTCGTACTTGATGGACGTCCGTGCTGCATCTGAAAAATTGAAGGCGCGATGACGCGATGCGTGAGTTCTCAATGCTCTGCTATATGCTGCCAATGAGGTGTCGCTCGGATTAGGGAGAAAAGTTAAAAATAGGCCCGAATACGTCTTTCTTGTCGTCGGCTGTGTTGATACTCGCTCTTTCTTCTTTTTTCAGGTTCTTGCCTGATTTTTTTTTAGGGTGGATTTTTAGACCCAAGTCTTAAGCTCGTGTAAACCGCAGCACTGACATGATTCTTATGGAAATAATGGTGCTTGGATGCGTCTAGTGGCTTTAATTTGTTTGTTTTCTTTAATTTCAGAAGTCTGTCGGTCACTTCAATACGTTCAATTTTACAATTTTTACTCCGTACGATTAATAAGCTTTGAACCTAAAAATAGCGTAAACTTGCGCTGCTTTGCCAAAATTTTCTGAACCCCTCTCCACGAAGGGGATGCTCCATCAGGAAATATCACATTACGCCCCTTTAACGAGCCAAGGGTCTACGCCCTCAGATGCGAGCCCGTCCGACCCTGCATCGTGGCGCCTAAAAAAGTTGACAGATTGAACCCTTTGGTATATACCGAAGTACTTCAGAAGTCCGACCCGAACTTCGGCAGCTGGACCTCAAGTTTCCGGATGCGTGATCCGAAAACTTCAGAGATCCATATGACCTCAACTTCGGGCCCCATGCACGAAGTTTTTTTCTCCGTGCAGCCTCCTGAAATTTCATGAAATATTTCACTGAAATTTCCAATATTTAATTTCTTTCTTACGTTTCATGCTACCCTGTTCCTGGATCCCCTTTTGCAGCTATGGGAGTCCTCAGTCCTTCCAGACTCTTCTCGGAGGAATGCCTTTCCGTGCCCCCCCCCTCCCCCCTTGGTGGGATGTCTCTCTGATTCCTGAGCCTAAAATGGAGATGTTACATGTGTGAGGGATTTGCGATTTGACTGCTGTTTTTTATGTAAAAGTTAGCGAGAAACACGATGGTGCCACTGATTTCTCTGAAATCAACTCCCAAGCTCAACAAAAGCTCTCAAAGTGAGGCCAAAATGGAGGGGATATCCCTCGCTACCCTGAGAGTCCACCTCTACATCGAGAGAAACTCTCCGTGTAAAGATAGGGAGCAAATACATTGACAGGGCTGCCACTTTATTTGGAGACTCCAAAACTGAAAACACGGCAACTCTGCTAATGTATTTGCTCCCTATCTTTGCATGGAGAGTTTGTTTTGATGTAGAGGTGGACTCTCAGGGTAGGGCGGGACATCCCCTCCATTTTGGCCTCACTTTGAGAGCTTTTGTTGAGCTTGGGAGTTGATTTCAGAGAAAACCAGTGGCACCATCGTGTTTCTCGCGAACTTTTACACAAAAAGCAGGAGTCAAATCGCAAATCCCTCACACATGCAACATCTTCATTCATGGTTCCGCCAGCTAGTGTCGATTCGTTCTCCGCAAAAGTATATACTAATTAGTTTGTGTATGTTTCAGTTTCTTGGGTTGTGCAGTTGCCGCGTGCGTCGTGATGGCGCTAGCATCGGGCGCCTCCGGGGTGCCGGAGGAGTGTCTGACGATCGAGGAGGACACGTTCGGGGTGCACAAGGACCCGTCGACCGGGGAGTCCTACGCGGTGAGGTCCTACACCCTGGTCAACCGGAACAACCTCCAGGTCAAGGTCATCGACTACGGCGCCACCATTGTCTCCGTCAAGACCCCCGACAAGAACGGCAAGTTCGCCGACGTCGTCCTCGGCTTCGACGACGTTTCCGGTGAGTAGGAGTTTCAGCCGAGGGGTTTTCATAGGGACCTTCAAGTCCATAGAGAAAAAAAAGGAGGTGCTTGCATTTCGGGCATCTTGGATGACGTAGGTCGGTACAACGAGTTTATCATCGATTTTCCTGGAAATGGTGTAATTTATGGAAAAAATTCATTCTACAAAAAATGCTTAAAATTATATCATGAGTTGATTTAAGGTGATTCGATATATATATATACGACGTGAATAGCCTAGATATTGATCGTCGTTAAATAAAACTATATATATAGTCAGAAAGGCATGCGATATATCGCATCAATGGACCACTAGACAAGGTACGAATTTAAGCATTCTGATACACATTTTTTAACCAAAATTTCACGTAAAACACGATGCGCACAACAAAAATTACCGAAATTAACTCCTTACAATGATATTAAATGATTCCTGATGCGTGAATTCAAACCACCCGCTCATGAAAACTCAATGCTCTACGTAATTCGCATCGCGCGCTAAACGTTATCATGACAGTATCTGCGATTTCAAAATCTGGCAACCTCAATTTTGACGCTTTGCCTCAGCTATAGCAAATTGCTTATAGTTTGAACAACACATGGTGGGAAATGAACATTGTTGGATTGAGGAGCTTGCTGAAACCGTTGTAGTGCGCGATTTGATTCACGTAGAGCTTTGAGTTTCTTGTGAGCGTACAGTTCAAATTCCTCGTAACCAATGTGAAATAAAAACGTTAATATCTTCGATAGGAGTTGGTTTCATTAGTTTTTGTTGTGCGAATCGTGTTCTACGTAAAATTCTGGTTAAGAAACATGTATCAGATTGCTTAAATTCGTACCTTGTCTAGTGGTCCATTGGCAGTAGAATCTGTGTTCCAAAATACCATAGACCTACAGCCGGCTGTAAGATTTCCAATAGCTTCTATAGCCGGCTACACAATTTCTTATAGCCTTTCATAGCCGATGGCGATTAAACAACAGCCAGGCGATAAAGTGTATGCTAAACGTTACTAATTACGGATGCTAGGACTTAGTGAGTTTTTGGACCACTGCTCTCTTTTTGGGCCGTAGTATCTTGATTTATTTTGCGAGGAAAGCTCCGTGCTTTTGATGGATGCCTGCCATTCCCAATATATTAGAGCGCCTTCAGTTTCGTATGATACTTTGCAATACCTCTGGTGTGAAATAGTTGCTTCAAGCGCCGTGGCACGCTGCGGCGCGGCAGGTGGGCAGCTAGCGCGAAACGCGCATTGGCGCCTACAAACCTAACAGGGATACTTCACGCGTTGCACAATGCGTGAAGTATCCCTGTTAGGTTTGTAGGCGCCAGTGCGTCGCCGCTCCGCTTTGTGTTAGGCTCTAATATTTAATCTGGCGGAGTCAGCGTTATTCAACTCATGATTTTGAAATGTTTGCACATCCTGTATGGATTGTTCTCATTTTAATTGATGAAAAAAAATATATATTAAAGGAAAATATAATGTGTGTTTTGTAAATATTAAGGTGGTTCCGTATCAAACTTAATGATTTCCAAAGCACACGAATTTCTACACAATTTCTTTTAGCCTTTTATAATCGATGGCAAAAGAGCAACAGCCAGGCAATAAAGTGTAAAACCCGGCGATAGGAACTACAGCCCCGCTGCATAATTTTTTATCGCTTCGTATAGCCCGGCCATATGATTTTCTCCGCATTCTACAGTCAGCTGTATGATTTTCTGTAGCCTTCTTTAGCCAGCTCTAAGAATTCCTATGGTATTTTGAAACGCAGCTCTTATCGTCAATTTTTACCAGGGAGTCCATTGAGAAAAAAAAGGAGGTGTTAGCATTTCGGGCATCTCGGATGACGTAGGTCGGTACAACGAGTTGATCAACGATTTTCTCGGAAATGGCGTAATTTATGGAAAAAATTCATTCTACAAAAAGTGCTTGAAATTATATCATGAGTTGATTTCAGCAAAAAAGTCGGACATTATGGTCCGTTTTTCGTACTTAGAATTCCGGATTTTGCTGGCCAGGTTGTACCGACCCACGTCACAGGGTAAACAAACCTCAAGATGCAAACACCTCCTTTTTTTTCTCTATGCTTCAAATCCAGGAGAGGAACTCTGATTCCATGTCGACGTCACATGTCTTCTCCTAAAAATCTTTCGTAGAAAATAATTCACACCACAGGAAGTTTTGAAATCAACTCGTAAATGAGATATTATAACAAGTATCTTAAACACAGATCGAACAGAAGTTCGATTATAAAAAAGACGTCGTCTGTATTCTTGTCATTTCGCCAATGTTGATAGAAAACACTATCTTGTTCAGGAGTTGATTTTCAAACTTCCCGTTGTGTGATTCGTTTTCCTTGTGAAATTTTGAAGGGAAAACATGCAGCGTTGTGCTTTTAATTCATACCTTGTGCAGAAGCTCAGGTGAAATCATTGCCATCCCATTGGAGTGTTGTGCATGTTGTCTATCCACGAATTGAAGGAGCTCCTCTTACTTTTTATTACGATAAAATTGATATCAATCGCAAATTGCCTACTTTTCTCACACCCGGAACTTATTTTGTTAGTTGTTTAAAATTGGCATTTATTGACCGAATGATGTAAAAATATTGCAATGCCATGGTGAACAAATAGTAATTTTATTGCTTTGTATTGCAAAATTATTATTTCAGTATTTTCACTGCAATGTGCTATGAGCAAGGTCAAGAAGCTGTTTGCATTAAGACTATTTAAAGTTCAACAGGTCTAAAAATTTGCATATAATACATGCTTAATTAATGAAATTGTTTTGACTCTACCTTGCAATCAAAAATGAGTGACCAGTTTTACTTAACTGTACCTATAAATGACAGTGTGTCTCCTTTGTATGAGAGGCATTGTACCAAAAATCAATGAGCATTGAAAAGATTAACATGGAAAACACATTAAGTCAAGTGAGGCCCACGAGTATTGCCCACTCATGAGATAAACTTCTTGTCACCCTAGAAGTGTCATCAATATTTTCACAATAGGAGTTCTGTTTTTCTTGATGATAGCTTTCACTTAACAATGAAAAGGAATGCAGGATAAAATAATTTTCTTTTTTCCTATCATCGGCACGTGGAATTTTGTATTTTTTTTAAAAAAGAAAATAATAATAGTCTTGAACCTACCAGAGTTTGGCAGAAAATTCTTGGCCCTCTCATTTTGGAAACAGCTTTTCTCAAAATTTTCAAAGTTATGACTTCATACTTACGAATGATCATGCTTTTTTGAAAAAAGTACAATTATGTGAATAGGATAAGCTTTTGTCACACTAATTTCTCTATGTCTGTATTTGTTTTCCTGTCTTTCCTGGGAAAGTAGATTCTGTGCGGAAACTCTTCAGTACTTTTCCAGGTAGTTCCATCGTAGATTTTCAATGACTCCTCATAGAATTTTTGAGGACTCCTCACTAATATGACGTTATGTTTTCACACTTTAAATCTCATTTTAATCTGACTTCTTGTTCTAACAATTTTCTGCGATTGATTTGGGCAGGTTACGAGCGGTCGGACAACCCGTACTTTGGAGCAACAATCGGGCGAGTGGCCAACCGTATCGAAAATGGCACATTTCAGATAGGCAATCAGCGATACAGTGTCGCCAAAAATGTCCTTGGCAAGCATAGTCTTCACGGTGGAGAACGAGGATTCGACAAGGTACTCTTATCCATTTCAATATCTTTGAGGATAGTGATAATATTTAATATTTCCGAGGCTCGACAGATGCTATTAGTTATGAAGTCATTGTAAAAACGCTGTTTCGAATTTGATTCAAACGGAAATGATGACATGTTCCTCACCAGGGCCAACAGTGAAAGTACATCAATCAATATACCCATTAATGATGAAAGCCTCTTAACACATATCTTGATTGGGGTTTTGCAAATCTCTTATGCCATTTTATATTTTCACAAGAAAACTGACAAATATCATGTGTTTGAATTTGTACAGATTTTTCTTCATTCTCCGAAAAATATACGGTAAACATGTCAAAAATAACGTTCATTGATTCTCTATCAAGACATGCAACAAAAACACGGAGAATACATAAAATTAAAGAAATGTTAAAATGTCTCAATCGAAATTTCAGAGATAAAGAGAGACCCTTCATTGGACTCTTGGATGACAGGTGGAAACTTTTACTTTCGGGGATTCAGCACCTCCTAATCGACAATTAAAAGTCATTGCCCATTTTTTGGATGTTGACCAAGTCTATACCCTAAAAATATCAACTAAAAATTGTTGTATGGTGAAGCTCTTTATTCAAAAAATGGATGGATTTAATTGAAATCAGCCAGCTGCATTCCATGTCGCCTAATTTTCTCTCACATATTATTTCTTTAACAGAGTACCAAATCACTTAATGTCTCCAAACTTTCTTAGAATTTACCTTATATTTTAAAGAATATACTCGTAGAATTTCAAGTTTCAGTGTTGTTGGGGTTTCTGTCGAAAATATAAAACATCAGAGAAATCCAGGCAACCTCTGTTGTAATTAGGCTGAATCAATCTAGATACGTCCAAATTATATTTAGCAATAATTTTCTGACATTGTGCCTAAGTTTGTCGATGGCTAAAGTGTGAGACAACGTATTTCCGTTTCCGTCATTGTAGAATTCCAGACGTACCTACTTTATTTCTTCCTTGGAAAACTAGTCCATGTAATTTCTTGAGAACTTCCTTGAATTTTTGCTTTTTCAATAGAATATTCTGTATAATGTTCAAGCCATAAAATGGATTTGTTCCTCCTCGGAAAAATAATCTAGGAGGGGAGATTTTGAAAGACCGCAGTGGAAATACGTGGAAAAAATGGATTGCTGATTTAACAATTAAATTGTTAAAAAATATGTCCGACATGTTTCAAATGTACATTTTATAACAGTGGAAACCTAATTTAATTTAATTGGTTAAATATGCATTTTCATATCGTAAAATCTACATTGAAACATACTGGACACTTTTTTTAACCACAAAAATTGTTAAATTAGCAATTTCAGTTTTTTCGATGTAGGTGGTGTTGCACTTCGGCCATTTTGTGTTTTTTTGGTTTCACCTTGGAAGTGCAATTCTTAATGTTTTGTTTATAATTTCCTCTTCATATATTTAAATTACAGGTCATGTGGACAGTTGAAAAAGGGTGTAATGAGGTGCGAATGACGTACTACAGCCGTGATGGAGAGAGTGGTTTCCCCGGGAATGTTAAAACAACCGTTTGTTTCAAGCTGACAAACGACAATAAATTGATCATCAATTATCAAGCCACAGCCGACAGATGTACGCCCATCAGTCTTACAAACCATGCTTACTTCAACTTAGCTGGTCATGTAAGTAGTACACATATGAACCATAGATCTCAAATTTTAGCTTTCTAAGGAACACAAGCATTATTCTTCATCAAAACTGAGTGCCATTATTCATTTTTTAAATAATTATGATTAGGCGCTTAGATTGCAGTTTCATTGACACCTAGGGTCGAATTTCTTTCACATAGAGGTGCAACATTCATTCATGAATCCAAACCGAACCACCAACTAATCAGAAGTGCTGAGCCCGACTTAAGTTTGGTTGAGACTTGTCTTAAGTATATTTAAGCACAGTGGAAAGGACCGACAAAATTCGGCCCTTAGTGTTTTCTTCTCTTCTGTGAAATCAAGTGTGACCAAAATTGTTTAAACAAAATGTTCCAAAATCTTATTTCTATGACTTCCTTGTGATCATTTTAAATTTCTTTAAGTCTGTCCTTACCTGATTTGACATTTTATGTCAAAGGAAAAAGTAATTTTGTCTCTGAGATATAAAATATTCTCAGTAGCAAAATTCAAGTATTAGAGGAATTATATTAATTAAGTGGAGATACCTAAGCAAATTTTTGGCTTGTTCGTTTTTCTCTCACAGTGAAAAGGAACTATATGTATGCACTGAAAAACAGAGTAGCCTGATTTGTCCATTTTTCAAGAAGACTACAGTTTTGATTGGATTTCTCCTCTTCGTTGTTTGGTTTGGTGCAAGTCCCACTGTATAAATACATAATTGTTCTTTGTGATCTTGAAATACTAAAAAGATATCTTTCAAAATTGAATCAGTGAAAAAACAGTGAAATTCGAGGAAGTGAAAATGTTCCGCAATGTTCAGGAGGCACAAAAAACTGCACAGTTGTTGAGGTGAATAAGTTAGTGTAAAAAAAAAACTTTTCAGTTTCTATGCAATTTCCTTTTGCATGTAGATGAGTTTATTCAGAAGCAACACTAAAACGTAAAAAGAGGTGGAAAGGAAAAAACCGGGAATTGGTGTGTTCTCATTCTCACTGATCCAGTTGTGACCTCCATTGCATTTTTTAATTTAAACCATGAATGTGTACTATTGAACCAACTGCATTGAATGATCTTTTTTGGAGTAAGAACAAAAAAGAAGTAGGACAGCATGACACTTAAAATTTCAAAGGAATAACATAATATTTATCGCATGAAGTAGTTTGCAGAGACAAAATTTTTTGAAACTCGTGTTTGACAGAACATGGATTCTCTGAGGGTAGGTACATTAAATGACTTTTTTTATTTATTTATTTATTCTTTAAAAAAGATACAACTGAGAGTACACAGACCTTTAATTATTACTGAAAAGTTTCAATTTTGTAATTCTGTTTTGCCTCTCAATGTTTAAATTTTTATTGAATTTTCATTACAAAAATTTCTCCTTACTAATGTTCTTCTTGTGTTTTTGTTTTCTTGTAGAACGCAGGTCAGGAAGGACTGTACCAACATTTAGTTCTTATTAATGCTGATAAATACACTGATTACAATGAAGATAGTGTTCCTACAGGTACATCTCAAGAATTCTTTTTATTTCAACTTTTGTTTTTGCAGAAAATCTCGCAACAGTCATTATCATAAGAATGTAGGTCCCTTCTATGCATGATAACACTTGTTAAATTGCCATAAAATGGACTTTTTTTACCTGATTTTCTCAAGACTGGCTCTCAGAAAGTTTGAATTTAAAGGCTGGTCTTGCTCAAGAAATTGTAAGAAGTATCATATAAAAAAAACTCGTAAAATTAGCACTAAATTTCTTGGTATTGTGCGCAGTTCTTTGACTGAAAATCTTGTATCAGTCTGTTCAATACTTTTTTTAAGTAGGTACATTCATAAGTCTCTTTTTATCGACTGTAAAACCATGTACCTGGGTTCGCTCTTTTGCGGTTTATCCGTCAATTTCACTCTTGGAGGATAGTCGATTGTTCGCACAAAATCTTACATAATTTTTTCTTACAGTTTCAAGATTACTCTCTAAATTTTTTTACAAAAACTTCCTGCAATAACTACGGTCTTTAAAAAAATAAAGGCATTTGGAACGCTGGAAATAATTGAAAAAAATGTTTTCATAGTTTCATCGTTGATAGTAATTTTACTCCCAAGGTAAATCATTTCCGATATCTCTGTTATTGTAGGTGAGATTAAAAGTGTAAGTGGAACAGAGTTTGATCTGCGAGAGCTGCAGCCTCTCGGAGCCGCTATTCAGCGCACATTCCATTCATATGGATTTGATCTCAACTACGTCATCAACTCAAACGAAGACAAAAGCAACTTTCATTTAAAATTCACAGCCAGGTAAATGGTCCTGAACCTTCATACTTCAATCAAAATCAATTAATTTAAGTTTAATTCCAAATCTTCATTTATCATCAAAGTCCCATAGTGACTTAAAAAAAGATTTACAGAGATTTACCCAAATACATAATTTTCTTCCTCAAATGCAGGTGGTAGAAAAAGCATTTTCGTCAGTCACTAATTCTACCTCAGGAATGTCCAAATCATTCAGTAAAGTTAAAAAACTTGTCAATTTTTAAACTTATTTCCTGAGTTTTCTTAAAATCCTCCAGAGAAATTGGTGAGTTAACTGTGATAGCCGATAAAGTAAACTACAACGTCAAGAAAGTAAAAAATATGATGTTTTGATGTGAAATTATTTTGTTCTGGATTTTGATTTGATCTTTAATTGTTTTTTCAGAGTAATCGATCCAGTCAGTGGGCGATATGTGGACACTTTTACAGACCAACCGGGCGTCCAATTTTACACTACTAATTCATTAGCACCGATCCCTGGGAAAGAGGGAGTGCTCTATGATAAACACAGTGCTTTCTGTTTAGAGACGCAGAAATTCCCTGATGCTTTACATCATGTTAGTATTCTCAAAAATTATTTTTTAATTTTAATTAGAATTTATTTTTGGAATCTGTTTGCTCTACAGATTTTTTCTCACTTCGTCCTGGATTCATGGCGTGATCAACAAACTGGCATGAAGTTAAAAATTTTAGCAGATTTTGACTTTTTAGCCCAAAAAAGGACAATAGGCCCAGCGGACAAGAATGAAAAATCATTATCAATCAAAGAAGTTGGAAAATTTTTGAGAAACGAAAACAGGATTTTAGTACAGAAAAGTGTTGCATTTGAAGACGTGCAACACTACGTATCTTAATCGCGGAGTTTCAAAATTTTTGCTCGGATGTTATTTATTTCAAGAGAAACAAACCCACTCTGTAGCCTGAAATTTATGTAGAATATCCTGCTAACAGAGAAGAACATTACAGATACATCAGAGAGACATTACATTGACAAATTTTTCATAACATAATTTCTTGAACATTTCTTTGATTTTTCTCCTCTATTGGTAGAATATTTTATGCAAATTTTAAACCGTAAAGTTGGTTTGTTTCTCTTTGAAGAAATGAAATAGGAGAGGAAAGTTTGAGATATGTGGCTTTGCACGTTAGTCATCAATTTTCTACTTCCATTGATACCCAGTATTTGATTATTAAAGTCCAAAAAAAGCAAATCTCCATAGCAACTTTCCAAATTGCAACTTATAAAAATCTCTGATTCTGAGTACTAACTACAGGGGCTTTCATGGGTTCCCATTAGTTAGTCCATTACTTACCTCCTTCATCCATTGCAACCAGTTGCTTCCACCAATAGGATTGCTTTATTTTCCTGTTGTCCTCTTTGTCTATTGCTTTGTTCACCAATATCAGGTATCAGCCTGCGTTCTCCTCGGGCAATAATCCTTATTTCCTATTCAATAATTTCATTCAATTCTGGGACTAGTTTTGATTGGAATAGATAAAGTTCAATGTTTTTAAGTCAATGTGTAATTATTTTTGTTTGTTGCAGTCTAATTTTCCCAGCATTATACTGAATCCTCACCCTGATGTCTACAAACACTCAACAGTTTATGCATTTGGAGTCGTAAATAACTGAAAACTGTCTTTCTCTGTACAATTTGCTTCAACCTTAGTCTTCCTAATACTGGAATGTTGTGGTGAGCTGGTTTTTAGTCGTGCGGCGAAGCCGTATAGACTCTAGGTTTCGCCGGAGGCTAAAAAGTGTCCACACTTTTAGGCTAAGTCCAAGAGGAGAATTTTCGAGGAACCAAGTAACATATGAGGTATTGATATCGGTGCATTTTGGCCCAATGGAGATGTTACATGTGCGAGGAATTTGCAATTTGACTGTTGATTCTTGTATAAAAGTTCGCGAGGAACACAATGGTGCC